CCGCGCTCCAGATTAAATCTCACTCCACTCCCAGTATCCGTGCTCTAGATTAAATCTCACTCCAGTCTAAATCTTACTTGGCCTCTGGTGACTTCCCTCATACGCAGCATCATCAGTTTCCTTCCTCTTCTTGCGTCTTTGATGTGGGAACCGAGTCGAGGCCCTGGAACAGCAACCAAAGAATAGCTGATGAGATGAAGTGAGGCAGGGGAGATTTTGAGAGAGATGTAGTGAGGTAGAGGTTGAGGGAGACATGGTGTGTGTGTGTGTGTGAGAGAGAGAGAGAGAGAGAAAGTGTGTGTGCGTGTGTATCTGAGTGAGCTAGTGTGTCAGTGTGTGTGGAAGAGAAAGGACAGGGTAAATCACCAAACAGTGGTGAGCGAGAGTCAGGGTGAAGTGAACGGTGATGCCAAGAGAGGAACAAGGGATTAATGAGGTGATAATGAGGACAATTGCAAGGGAGCCGCCAGTATCAATCTCACCTTTTTCCTGCTGATGCTGGTGAGGAATCTCTGTAAAACAGAACAGTAAATGAATCAGACGCAGGAAATTGCACTCCTCACTTCTCTTTCTCCCTACTCTAGTCCTCTCTTTCTTCTCATCCAGACCCCTCTCTTTCCCTCCAGTCTTGATTCCTCACCAATTGTTCTCTACTGCTTTACTTTCCCTCTCCCTGTAACATGCCTCTCCCGCCTCACTCTTTCTTTCTTTTCAGTCCCACTTCACTCTCTTTTTCTCTCTCCTTCTCCACAACGCCCCCCCACCAACCCCAGCCACAGCTCTACTCATCTCTCTCCATCTCTCTCTCTCTTTCTCCAGCCCCTACATCCCCCTTCCTTCCCAGTCCTACACTTCTCCCTCCCTGGTACCATCTACTCCCCCCTCCCTCCCCGATTCCACCCCACTGCGCTCTCTCCCCTCCACGGTCCCACAACAACCTCACCCTCCCTCCCTAGTCCCACTCCCCTCTTCTCCCTCCCTCCCCAGTCCCACCCTCTCTCACTCTCCAGCCCCACTCCTCTCTCCTCCACACTCTCTTCTTTTGGCTCCATCCTTCTCTCTCTCTAGTGTACTCCTCTCTCTCTCTCTCTCTCCCCCTCCTTGTGTCAGCACTAACCCCCGATCAGTCCCAGATCTCGCCCTCATTTTCTCCAGCTCCAACTTCCCTCTCTCTCTCTCTCCCTTCAGCTCCACTGACCCCTCTGTCTCTCCCTCCACCTCCAACTCACCCCCCTCTCTCTTCCTCCAACTCCATAAATTTCTGTTAGCCCTAATCCCTCTCTCCCTTACTGATCTCTTTCTCCCACCCCACCCACACTCCCTCTCTCGGTTTCTGTTTTAAATATGAATGGATTGTGGTCAGAGAGGGTCAGCTGAGTATTGGAATCTGATTCTTCAGACAGAGAGATCCAGCACAAGATGGGATAGTGTGCCCCTCTGCAGGAGGTACCAATCCAAACCAGCACAAAGAGAGGCTCCCACAGCACAGGACAAACTCACTTGCTCTGTAGATCGGAAAGCACAGGTTTCACAATCTCATCATCAGCCTGGTATCTGAAACAGCAGAGAGTGAGAGACACTGTCTTTTACAACAGTGAGCACAGAAACCGAAACCGCAGAGGGACACTCAGTT